TGATGACGGCAAAATTAAGAATTTCTGTGACAACGGTGAGATGGCCTGTCGCCATGACAACGTTAAGATTGCGCATCGCCATGACAACGGTGAGATCACACGTCAACGTGATGACGGCAAAATTAAGAATTTCTGTGTCAACGGTGAGATGGCACGTCGCCGTGACGACGGCAAAATGAAGAGTTTCCGTGACGACGACGAGGCAGCGTGTTTGTCGTCGGAGGCTGAGCTGCTGAGCGAGCTTGAGAGAGATGGTGGCTCCCTCTTCACGCCGCGCTCGCGTCGCAACGTGACGAACCTTCCCGGCCTGAGCCGTGTCGATGGATTCCTGCAGGAAGATACCAACACTTGCCGCGTGAGATGTGGCGGAGACGGGGGCAGTGGTAACGGGACCACGGAACCAGGAAAGTGTGTGAACCAGGGAAGGGTGCCTGAAGTGACGGACCGAGCAAAAACCAGGAAGCATTCGCCAAAGAAAGGCAAGCGAGCAGCTAAACCGAGGTGCCTACCTGACACTGGTCACCCGGAGGCTTCCAGCGTCCATCTCACCCAGCCGCTAGACGTGAGGGGGCGCCACGGTCGCCGCGGCGGCTCCCCGCAGGTGTCGCGTTACGTCAGCAGACGCGGCGGCGGCGGCGGCCATGACACGCGGCGGGTGGAGCTACTGCGCTCTGCGCACCGTCGCACCGCGCGCTTCGTCGTAGGCTCCAGCGAATCCGAGGACTCCTCGTCGCGAGGTCCGCCACCGCACAGGTGGCGCTGCCGTCCAATCAGCTTCGTGGATGAGGCAGCAGCGGCGGCGGCGCGGGGCGACGAGAGGGTGCTGCCCCCTGGTTACGTCTCGGACGCCTCCACCGTCATGCCTACCAGTCTCTCCGACGCGAGCGAACCCTCCAGCGACGCGTGCAGCTCGGACGCCGAGACCGCAGCCCCGCCAGGGGGCGCCGGCGACCGGCTGGTCTACTACCTGCGCGTGCGCGACCGCGCATCCACGACCATCGGAGGCGTCGTTCGAACGTGACCTCTCCCGCCGCCGGGGTCAATCTCTCGCGTTCTGGCGTGACTTCCTCGCCAACGATGCCGTCGCCCTGCCGCAAGAGGGCGCCTGCTGCGTGAGCTCTGCTGCAGCACACAGTGCTGGCGGTGGCACGGGCGCGCGGGGAGTTCCATGGCGGGATGGAGGCGGCGCGCTGGTGCAACGACAGCCGGCAGCGAGCGCAGACGACGCGACGCTGGCACTCGTTCGATGATGTCACGTCGACTGCAGAGAGGAAGCTGGGAGGTGGAGAGACTGCAGAGAGGAAGCCAAGGCAAGGAGGAGGTGGAGAGACCTGCAGAGAGGAAGCCGAGGCAAGGAGGAGGTGTAGAGACTGCAGAGAGGAAGCCGAGGCAAAGGAGGAGGGTGTAAGAGACTGCAGAGAGGAAGCCGAGGCAAGGAGGAGGTGTAGAGACTCGCAGAGAGGAAGCCGAGGCGAGGAGGAGGTGAAAGAGACTGCAGAGAGGAAGCCGAGGCAAGGAGGAGGTGAAGAGACTGAAGAGAGGAAGCGCGAAGGCAAGGAGAGAGGTGAAGAGACGTGCAGAGAGGAAGCTGAGGCAAGGAGGAGGTGGAGAGACTGCAGAGAGGAAGCCGAGGCAAGGAGGAGGTGGAGAGACTGCAGAGAGGAAGCCGAGGCAAGGAGGAGGTGATGCAAGACTAGAGAAGACACCCTGCATGCAAGGAACCTGTGGAGGGAGCGCGGCCCGGGACGACGTGCCGACCTTGGGGAAAGGGATCAAGGTCACGCGTCAGAAGCCTGAGTACGATCTTAACAAGAATCTCGCGTCGCCAGCGCTGCCTTCCCGGGGACGCATCCCGGTAGAGCGGCCACCGACCCGTCCCGGGGCGATCACCATGGCAACACGTGCGGTCGTCGACGGCAACGACGTCTCTAGGGTCTGGCCTCCCGTCGCTAACGCCAACTCTCGGTCGGAAATTATTAGTAATATGTCCCTAACGAAGAACCCCGCTAACAAATATACCGTGACGATTCAATCCCAAAGTAAACCCTCGTTAATCACACCACCCGTAAGTAAACCTTCACTTATGACATGGCCCCCGCATAGATATTCACCAATGACACAGCCCCTAGACAAGTCTTCACTGATAACACGGCCCCCAGATAAATCCTCGGCGGTGAGACAGCCCCCCGGCACACATTCGCTGAGGTCACGACCTCCAGACATGCTGGGACGAGACTCGGAGAAGCGCTCCGAGTACAACATCGTCATACGCAGCGTGTGCGCGAGCATCCGGCCAGCAGGGGGCGCTGCAGAGCGGCGATGCCGCGCCGCCGCCATGCACTCCCATGACTCGCTGTACGGCATCGAAGAACTTTCACGTGACGACAGCCCTGCCACCAGGTGGCGCTCGGGTAGCGTGGCACGTGACGACAGCCCCGCCACCAGGTGGCGCTCGGATAGCGTGGCACGCGACGACAGCCCTGCCACCAGGTGGCGCTCGGGTAGCGTGGCACGTGACGACAGCCCCGCCACCAGGTGGCGCTCGGATAGCGTGGCACGCGATGACAGCCCTGCCACCAGGTGGCGCTCAGATAGCGTAGCACGCGATGACAGCCCCGCCACCAGGCGGCGTATGGATAGTGCGACCCAGCTACTTGACCTTTCTACGATGTCAAGGTCGGAGCCAAACTTGAGCACAGAGTCGACGGAGACGCTTCTGGAAGACATGAAGATCTTCGCTCTACTCGAGACGATTCAGTCGGAACCTAACCTCGCAGACGCGACGGTGGTGCCACCTACGCTGACCGCTCACACGCACAACCAATCGCAGCCGCTGCCGACTGTTTACAGGCACGGCCACCAGGTGGGGCTGCTGGAGACGGACATCGACGCGGTGTCACGCAGCGTCGTCAGTCTTGAGGAGATTTACAAGTCTGAGCCGGACCTCTCACAGAGGGCGCCACTGACCACGGCTCTGCTAGGAGGCAGGCGAGTCAGGCAGGCAGGCGGCGGGGGCGCGCGCGCACTCTGCATCGTGAAGGAAACACACTTATAGCTCCCTCCTCCTCCTCCTCCTCCTTTTCCTCCACCTCCTCCTCCTCCTCCACCACCTCCTCCTCCTCCTCCTCCTCCTCCTTTGTCAGACCCTGCCAACCTAGCCGCATTTGTTCCAGACTTCCGCGCTAGTCCTGTGTCACATGTCCTGTGTCACATGTCCTGTGTCACATGTCCTGTGTCACATCTCGGGTAGCTTGCCTTCAGCAGTGTGCAGCGTCGAGCCGCGCGATTGGTCGAAAACCCACCAGGTGGAGATTCACACGGGTGTAGCCAATCGGAGAGCTCTGGCTCGTCATGTGCGCATGCGTAGTTTGTGGGAATCAGGGAGCTTTGTTAAGTCAGTGAGCACCCGTGCATGCACGATGTAAGCGTGTAATACTAGGTTTGCGGTGCACGCAAGGCTAGCATACCCTCCCCCGCTGACTAAGCAGCTCGAATGGAGATGATATACTGCATGTGTGATCGCATTCTGTTCCGAAATGACAGAAGATTTTGCTAGTCACCCAACGAGGCTTATTGTATAGCGTGACCCTATTTGTAACTTGATCGAACAGTGATAATGGATCTATATCAAGAGTCGATAATAGAAAATGTTCTATTAGGGAGTCTTGATCTATATGTATTATGTATATATATATATAGTATATACGTATATATATATACGTTCATATAGATATAGAATGTGTGTTATATATATAAATATTTTCAGTTACAAACCTTGTTCACAGCCATCGCTAAACATTCCATGAAGTAATGTAGTTGGTAGAGTTAGTCTTGTAACAACTAGTATTTGTAGCTTGTAGTTTGTGACGTTGGTGTTTTGCGGGGATGTCTGATTGTAACCGGTCCCTGGGGGGGTACTCACCCTTTTTGGGGGTAGGGGTGCTCCACCTAAATGGGGAAATTGAGGGCAAAAAGATGGCTCGATTGTGAAAACAGTGCAAAAAGATGGAAAGGGAAAAATTGGGGGGGGGGAAACATTGCTAGGAAAAATGGGGGGGGGGGGCAATAATGCAGCGCATATATATATATGAACGTCACTATGGGGAGTGCCCTTCCCCCGGGAACCGGTCGCAATTTAAAGGTAGTGCGTTCTTACTGAGCACACCTAAGAGTTGTTTACCCTGCGAGGTCGCCCACGTCGCCTAGTGTAGTAAGCCTACCTGCTGCTTCTCTGCTAACTAGGGTGAGCGGCGTGCGTCGCGTTACCCTGGTCACCAGAGTGTGATAAATAGCACGTGACCGCATTGCAGGCGCAGCGCCATCTCACGTGAAAGCGCGTAGGAGAGAAGAATTTGGCACCTTTTTACTTTAGTGCAAGTAGTAGCATCTAACAATGAAAGTTGTTTGTTTCTAATCCATGAGTCTAGTCTAAAGACTAGTCTGTGTAAACTCATAATTAGTTGTTCATTTTGTTTGTTTGCACGTTTATTGTGTCTAGTCGTGACGTATTACTGTGTTCTTGACGTCACCATGCAGTCGCCTCTTAGCATTTTTTAAAGATGAATTTCCAGCGTTTGCATCTTGGCTGTTCACTTGTTTTTGTTGCGACTTGATGGTCACGCATCAATTCTCACGCAAAGACGCTCACTTGTTTTGTTGTGAGCATTTCGTTTGATATATAATTTATTACACGAACACGTGAACATCCATGCATAGGTGTTGAATGTCGTCAGCAGCGAATAAGTCAATTACACTCGAGAAAACTCTTGAGAGAGTTCATTCTTGCGTTAAACACGCGTGTTTTATGAATTTATTAAAGATCATCTATTTAATACCGGATTAGATAACCTCAGGGGCAGTAGTGGCGAATAGCCATAGTGAAGTGCCTGAATATACGTTTTCATGAACTTTAGTGTTTTCTTTGCCAATTCAGGGCCGAGCAAATTCCTGGGGGGGGGTGGAATTTTATGACTCAACTGTGTAATGATGAGCGATACGCGCAGCTCTTGATCGACGTCCATGGTGTGGTAGGGGCGGGTCAGAGACAAGGCTTTCATGTGTAATGATGAGCGACGGGCGCAGCTCTTGATCGCGGCCATATAGTGCGGTAGGGGGTGGGTCTGAGACAAGCATAGTGCGGTAGGGGGTGGGTCTGAGACAAGGCTTTCACAGATAAGTGACCAAAAAAGTCAATATTTACGATTATTAGCTAAGCTTATTATTTTTTTAATTTTGCTCCAAAATCTAGGGGGCAGCTGGGCAGCCACCTGCCCCCCCGCCCCCCCCCCCCACCACACAGGCTACGGCCCTGCAATTGGACTAGAACACGCTAAACATCGTGTGAGCGTCTGTCTTGACGCTTGTTGCTAGGTGCCAACCTACTGTAGTCTCTCTGCTGAAGTGATATATATACAGGGAATATCGTTTGCTGATGCATGTGATTATTTTATTTATTGTCCTACTATGCATTCTCTAACGAGAAATAAAACCGTTTAGCCAAAACTAACACATGTATATATTCATATATGTTCGATTCGTGGCGCTCGCGTGCATGTGTGAGCGTGCTTCCTCTAGAAGGAGAAAACCAGAAGCACATTGAACTAACGAAGGTTGTGGCGGCGGATATATGTACATGGGCACATGTACACGCGAGTGTAATTGTACACACGTACATGAACATGTAGTTAGGCGTATACTGTAGTGATGTTGCGTATCAATGCTAGAACGTCGGGGGAGCGATAGGTTTGTTATTCAGCGTGCTGAATTAGTAAGAACACAATCGCTCACCTGGATTCAAAGTCTAGCAGGGATGATGATGGTGATGGTGATGGCAGGGATGACGATGGTGATGACGCTGGCAGGGATGACGATGACGATGGCTATCAGGAATGGGACTTTTTATTAAAATTAACTAGCAATAAAATGCCACCAATTTATTGATCGATCCGCTCATATCAGAAATATAAGAGTTGCCGCCAGACTTTATATAGAGCATACACGCACGTTTGCATTTTATCTACGCAGTTTAAATGTACGATTACATGTACATAATATTACGTACCTATCAATATACGTTACATGTGATGGCAGCGCAGCAACAGCAGCAGCATTTGTTGTGCTAGTTACTATCAACTATGCTATGGCTGCATGCACACACATAACGTGCTTGTAGTTCCTAGCTGAAGAGGGCGCCACTCATTCATACTGCCGAGTGACACATCTATCTCTCTGACGTCAGTGATAGCAGGGTATAAGTCTAATGGAGACTCGGCTAAGGCCAACAGCAACAGTAAAGCAACACTGTAATATCTCTCTCTCTCTTTCTCGCCCTCTCTCTCCTTCTCTCTCTCTCTCTCTCTCTCTCTCTCTCTCTCATCTCTTCTCTCGGGATCTCTCTCTCATCTTCTCTATCTCTTTCTCCATCTTCGCCCCTCTCTTTCGCATCTCTCTCTCTCTCTCTCTCTCTCTTCTCTCTTTCTCTCTCTCTCTCTCGTCTTTCTCTCTCTCTCTGCTCTCCTTTCTCTCTCTCTTCTATCTCTCTTTCTTTTTTTCCTCGTCTAATAGATGGGCAGCATGTAACAGACCGCGAATCAATCCATTAGCCATTAATGAAATATAATGCCGCCCTTCTTGCTACTAGATTCCCGGTCGTCCCATTCTATGCTGACGTCACGGACTGAGCCGTAGCGTTACTTCTCCTGCCCCTCTCGACTCCATGGCGAAGAGACCTCGTCAGAATAGCTAAATGGATGGCGCTGTGTAGGATTGTATTGATCAGCTACACGGGCTACGGCCTACAGATAGGGTATTAGGATTGCTATTGATAGCTACAGGCGTAGCGTAAGAGATAGGTAGCTAGCGATTGTATTTGCCATAGCCTACAGGCTAGGTAAGAGCATAGTAGTAGGATTGTATGTGCATTAGTTATCAGGATAGCCGCTAAAGAGATAGGCTTGGTCAGATCTGTATTTTTGCTAGCTACCAGGCGTAGGGTAAGAGAGATAGGTTGTAAGGCCATTTATTTTGGATAGCTACAGCGCGTTAGGAAAGAGATAGCGTTTGTAGATTGCTATTTTGAGTTAGCCCTAACAGGGTAGCCGTTAGAGCCATAGTTGCTAGCCGATTGTATTTTGATACGCTAACAGGGTAGATAAGCAGATAGGTTAGTCAGGCATTGTTATTGCTAGCCTACAGGATAGCGTAAGAGATAGTTGCTAGTCGTTGATATTTTGATAGCCTAACAGAGGTTAGGTAAGGAGATAGGTTGTAGGATTGTCATTTTGGCTAGCTACAGGGGTAGCGTAAGAAGATAGTCGTTTGTAGCGCATGTGCTATTGATAGGCTACAGCGCTATGTTGGTAAGAGCAATACGGTTGGTAGGATTGTATTGATAGCCCTACAGCCGGTAGGTAAGAGATAGGTTGTAGGATGTGTATTTGAATCAGCCTACAGCGGTAGATAAGAGATTAGTCGTAGTCAGGTATTGTATTTGCTAGCTACAGCGATAGCGTAATGAGATAGCCGTTGCTTAGATTCGTATTTGATAAGCTAAACCAGCGGTTAGTAAGCAGCATTAGCGTTGTTAGGATTGTACTTTCGATAAGATACAGGATAGCGTAAGAGATAGGCGTTGCGCAGGCCGCTTGTTATTTTGCTAGCTACAGCGCGTAGATAAGAGCATAGCGTTGTAGGCGATTGTATTGATAGCCCACAGCGGTTAGCTAAGCAGATAGCGTTGCTAGGATCTGGTATTATGATAGCTACAGGGTAGCGTAACGAGCACGATACCTGGGTAGTAGGATTGCTATGCTGATAGTTACCACGGATCAGGCCCGGGAAGAGAGTAGGTTCGCTAGGCATTGTATTTTGATAGCGCTGCAGGTAGCCCGTAAGAGGATAGATAGCTAGCGGCCGCCGTGTATTTGATCAGCCTACAGGGGTAGGTAAGAGATAGGTTTGTAGGATTGTATTTAGAGTCAGCTACGGGGAGGGAGTAGCGAGTTAACCGAGAGCTAGTCCTGCGTAGGATTTGTATTTTGATCAGCTACAGCATCCTCATCCACTCACCCGTCTGCTAGATTGCGTATTTGCCTAGCTACTTGTGCGTAGCGTAACGCAGACTCAGGCTTGATAGGCACTTGTTATTTGATAGCTACAGGCGTAGCCGTAAGCATGATGAGGTTGTGTAGGATTGTATTTGATAGCTACACGCCGATAGAGAAAGACGATATGCGTTGGTAGCGCGCTTGTATTTTGATAGCTACAGCGCGTAGTTAAGAGCACTAGTGTTGTAGGATGTGGGCATTTGATAGCTACCAGGTTAGCATAAGAGATAGGTTGCTATGCGATTGCTATTCTGCGTAGCCCTACAGGGTAAACAGGCTCACGAGATACGGCTTGTAGGATTCGCTATTTTGATTAGCGTACACAGGGTAGGTAAGGAGACTAGGTTGTTAGGGTTCCTAGGATGTATTTGATAGCGCTACACCGGGTGTACGGTAAGAAGATAGGTACTGTAGGATTGTATTGGTAGCCTACATGTCCCTCGACAAGAAGAAGACGACTAGGTCTGCCTATGCGATTGCTATTTGAAGTACATGCCGGTCAGGGAACTAAGAGAATAGTTGTAGAATTTGCTATTTGATAGCTACACGGGTAGGAAGAGATATGTCTGCTAAGGATTGTATTGCATAGCTACGAGGGGGTGCATAAGAATACGGCGTTGTACGGCGTTGTATTGATAGCCATACAGCGGTACCGGTAAGAGATACGCACGTTGTCAGATTAGTATTTGGCATAGCTACAGCACCTCTAGGTCAAGGAGCAATGTTGTCAGGATTGTATTTGATAGCCCCCTACAGGCCGTAGATAAGAAGTAGTCCCGTTGTTACCTCCTCACTCCCCCGTGCACTAGCTACAGGGGTAGATAAGAGATATGTTGTAGGGCTTGTATTTCGATAGCCTACAGTCGGTACTCTGCCCTCTACCGCGGATCTCATGTCTGTAGGACCAATTGTATCTTAAGGATAAAGCTACCCAGGGATAGGAGTAAGAGGATGATTCCCAATAAGCCTAGGACTTGGTATTCGTCTGCGCGATAGCCTCCCCACACTCCCAGGATAGATAACGCAGATAGCGCTTGCTCAGGCCGTCTGTATTTGCATAGCTACAGGGGCGTACCGGCCTTACAGAGCATATGCTGTGTTAGTGATTCTATTTGATAGCCTACCAGCCGCATACGGATAAGAGATAGGTCTGTGTAGGTTGATTTGATAGCTACGCGGTTAGCCATAAGAGATAGCGGTGTAGGTTTCGTATTTGCTACTACTCTACGAGCCGGTAGTAAGAGATATGCTTGCTAGCGATTGTATTTGATAGCCCCTACAGGATAGAATAAGACGATAGGCGTTGTAGTGGTTGTATTTGATACGCTACAGCGGCTAGCGTACAGAGATAGGTTGTTAGGCATTGTCATTTGATAGCTACAAGCGGGTAGCGTAACGAGATAGCGTTGTAGGCATTGATTGCATAGCCTACACGGCGCTAGCCGTAAGAGCATCAGTCGTTCGCTAGGATTGTATTTGATAGCGTTACAGGGTAGGCTAGAGATATGCGTTGTAGCCGATTGTATTTTCATCAGCTACAGCGCGCTAGGTAAGGAGAAGCCGTTCGTGTAGACGTCCTGTATGTTGATAGCTACACGGACTAGCGGTAGAGATAGGTAGTAGGATTTTATCTCGCATAGCCTACTAGCGGTAGTTATGAGATAGGCCTTGGGTAGGATTGTATTTGATAGCTACAGGTAGCGTAAGGACGATAGGCTGTCTAGGCCATTGCTCATCTTTGGATAGGCGGACAGGCCGCTAAGCATAGAGATATGGTAGTTAGGATTGCTACTTTCGATAGCTACAGGGTAGGTAAGAGATATGTTGTACGATTGTATTTGCATAGCCTACAGGTAATAAGCAGCATCAGGCTTGCTAGCGATGCTATGTGATAGCTACCAGGGCTAGAATTAAGCAAGCCATTCGCGCCAAGGTTCTGTAGGGTTGCCTATTTTGCATAGCTCACAGGGTACGCGTAACGAGGATATGTTGTTCAGGATTGTATTGGATAGCTACAGCGGGCTAGACTTAAGAGATAGCGCGTTGGTAGGATCTTGTATTTCCGCATAGCTAACAGCGGTTAGCATACAGCAACGTAGCCTCTGTAGTGCTTTGCTATTTGATACGCTAGCAGGTGGAGCGTAAGGAGAGTAGAAACGTTGTAGGTGGGCTCATTGACTCCACCCTATCTCGACGTGAAGGTAAGCAGATACGGTTGGTAGATTGTTATTTCCCTAGCCTAGCAGGCGCGTAGATAACGCACCAGGCATTAGGGCTTCTGTAGGATTGTATTTGCATAGCTACAGGATAGGTAAGCAGACCCTCCCCGTTGTACGCCGATTAGTATTTTGGCTAAGCTACAGCGCGTACCGTCGGTAAGAGAGTAGGTCTGTAGGCATTTGTAATGTTGATAGAACAAACAGGGTTATGATAAGAGCCATCAGCGTTGTACGCGCAATCGCGTTCAGTTTCCGTATAGCTTCTCACAGGCCCGCCTGTAAAGTGGCAACGGCGCATGTACGATAGCTTGGCGCTGTATTCCATAGCTACAAGCCGACTCGCACAACACCTCATGCTAGACAAAACTGCGTAGCATAAGCAGATAGTAGTAGGATTGTGTACTGCTTAGCCTACAGCGTAGGTAAGCAGATAGGTTGTTAGTTGTATTTATAGCTACCCCCAGGGTAGGTAAGAGCATAGGTGCGTAAGGCGTCCTCGTAGTTGCATAGCGGTACAGGTAGTAATAGATAGGTTCTGTAGGCCGTTGTATGTGTGATCAGCCTACAGGATTAGATAAGAGATAGGCTCTGTAGCGCCATTGCTATTTTGATCTAGCTACAGGGGTAAGATAAGAGCATAGCCGGTGCTAGGCATTGGAGATGAATAGCCTACAGGATGAGATAAGAGATAGTTGTTAGGTTTGTATTTCCGATAGCTACAGGGCTAGGATAAGAGATATGTTGTAGGCCTGTATTTCGATAGCTACAGGGTAGGCTAACGCAGATCAGGTGGTGTAGCGCCGTTTGTTTCGATAGCCTACCAGCCATTAGATAACGAGATAGGTTTAGCGCATTGCTACTTTGCATAGCTACCAGGGTACGGCTAAGAGATAGGTTGTAGGCGTGTTGTATTTGCATAGCTCACAGGTAGCTCAAGAGATAGTTGTAGGGTTGTATTTGGATAGCCTACAGCCGAGTGTAGCAAAGTACGCACATAGGTCTGTAAGCGATTGTATCTTGATAGCCTACAGCCGTAGGTAAGAGATAGCCGTTGTTAGGGGCTGCTATCTTGATTAGCCTACAGGGTCGGAAGAGATAGCGTCTGCTAGGGCTTGTATGTGCAATAGATACAGGATTAGATTAATGAGATATGGTAGTAGCGATTGTTATTGCATAGCTACAGGCGTACGGTAAGACGATAGCGCTTTGTAGGGCTGTATTGAATAGCTACAGCGGTAGCCGTAATGCAGACCTAGGTTGTATAGCTAGGCATTCGCTATTTGATAGCTACAGCGGTAGATAAGAGATAGGTTGGTAGGATCCTTGTATTATTGATAGCCTACAGGGTAGATCGAAGAGCATCAGGTGTGTGTGAGCAGGTTGGTTATTTGATACGCTAAAGGTACGGTAACTGAGTAGTGTTGTAGGCATTGTATTGTACTGAGCCTACAGCCGTAGATAAGAGATAGGTTGCTAGGCCATATGTATTGATGACTCTAGGGTAGGTAAAGAGATAGGTTTGCTAGGGATTGCCTATTTGATCAGGTTAGTCCGTACTAGCGCATAGCCCATAAGCCAGATATGGTCTGCTAGCCGATTCGCTATTTGAAGTCACCAGCGGTAGCGAGAGATAGGTCCTGGTAGCAATTGTATTTGCATAGCTACACGCGCGGAGAGTAAGGAGATCAGGCGTTGTAGCCGGTTGTATTTGATAGCTACAGGGTAGGTAAGAGCATAGGTTGCTATGCGATTTTATTTGCATAGCCTCACAGCGGTAGATAAGCAGATAGCGTTTGTCTAGGGCATTGTATTTGCCTAGCCGTAACAGGGGTAGCGTAGAGCATAGCGCTTGTAGGATTTGATTTGCCTAGCTACAGCGGTAGCTAAGCAGATCAGGTTGGTAGGGATTGTATTGATAGCTAGCAGGGTAGCGTAACGAGATAGCCGTTTGCAGGGTCTGTATTTGATAGCCTACAGCGGTACGGCCCGTAAGCAGATACGTATGTAGGCATTGCTATGTTTGATAGCTACAGGCACTAGATAAGAGGATAGGTGTGTGTAGCGATTGTAGTTTCGATAGCTACAGGTACCCGTAAGAGCATAGCGTTGTAGCGCGTTGTATTTATTGAAGCCTACGAGGCGTAGGTAACAGATAGGCGTTGTAGCGATTGCTATTGCATTAGGCTACAGGGCGTAGCATAAGAGCCATTCGGCGTTGTAGCGATTGTATTTGCTAGCTACAGGCCGCTACGGTGTAAGGAGATAGGTTGCTAGCGATTGTATTTGGCTAGCTACCAGGGATAGGCGTACAGAGATAGGTTTGCACGCTTGTATTATGCTAGCTACACGGATAGATAAGCAGAATAGGTTGTAGCGATTGTATTTTGCCTAGCTACAGGCTAGCATAGAGAGTAGGCTTCGTCATCGCGATTCCGTCTATTAATCGATCAGCTACAGGGTCCTAGGATAAGAGATATGTCCGTGTTAGGATTGTATGTGATAGTTACAAGGGATAGCGCCGCGAAGAGATAGGTATGTAGGGATTGTTAGTTTGATAGCTACCAGTTGTAGCATAAACGAGATAGGCGTTGTAGGTTGATTTCGCATCAGCCTACAGCCGATATCGGTAACGGAGCATAGTTGTCTAGGTTGTATTTGCACTAGCTACAGGGGTTAGGGGTAAGCAGCATAGGTGTGTGTAGCGACATTGTATTTGATAGCTACACCGGGGTTAGATAAGACGATAGGGTTGTAGGATTGTATCTTGATACGCTACAGGCGGTAGGTAAGAGACTAGGTCTGTAGGATTGTATTTCGCGTAGCGTCACAGGGTTAGGTTAAGAGCATACGGTGTAGCGAATTGCTACTTGATTAGGCCGCCTACAGGGATGGTGGGGCTAAGGGAATAGCGTATGGTAGGATTGGTATTTGGCCCTAGCTACCCAGCGGTAGGTAAGGAGATCAGCGTTGTAAGGCATTGCTATTTTGCATAGCCCACACGCGGGTACGGTAAGGAGATTAGCTTGTAGCCCCGCACCGTTGGCTATTTGATAGCCCTACCAGCGGTAGGCTAAGAGATTAAGTCCAGTAAACTGAGGATTGTATCTGATTAAGCTACAGGGTAGCGTAACGAGATACGGTAGTAGCCGGATTTATTTGGTAGTACAAGGCATAGGTAACGAGATTAGGTTGCTAGGATTGTATTTGCTACTTACTAGGTACGGTAAGAGCATAGTTATGCTAGGATTGTATTTTGCATCAGCTTACAGCGGTACGGTAAGACGCATAGGTCCTGTAGGCATTGTATTCCTTGCCATCTTGATGTAGCCTACAGCGTAGGCAGCACGATAGGTGTTAGGCATTGTATTTGCATTAGCTTACACGGCTAGCGTAAGAGATAGTGCTCGTAGGCGCAGTTCGGTATGTTGCGGACGCGTGACAGGGTAGGTAAGAGATACGCCTGTTGGCAGGCATTGTATTTGCCATAGCCCACAGCGTAGTGTATAGTGATAGGTTGCCTAGGGGGATTTCTGTTACCTTTCCGCCTACGCCTACGGTATGGTAAGAGATTTAGGTTGGTAGGCATGTGTAATTTCGATAGCTTATCAGGCGTAGCTAAGAGATAGGTTGCGCTAGCGCATGTGTATTGATAGCTACAGCGCCGTAGATAAGAGGCATCAGGTTGTCTAGCGCATTGTATTTGCTCACGTCCTCACCCCAGGTACGCCGTAAGCAGCATAGGCTTGTAGGATCTGTATTGCCTAGCTACAGGCGCTAGGTTAAGCAGATTAGGTTGCTAGGGGTTGATTCGATATGCTACAGGCGTCAGCTGAAGGCAGATAGGGTTGTAGGATTGTATTTTGATAGCTATCAGGGTAGATAACGAGATAGGTTGGCTATGGATTGTATTTTGCACTACGCTAGTCAGGGTAGTAGAGAATATGCTTGTAGGCATTGTATTTTGAAGCTACCCAGGCTAGGGTAACGAGATTAGGTCTTTCGCCAGTAGGGGGTTGCTATTTGATAGGCTTAACAGGGCAGGCCTGAAGACACGATAGGCCCGGTTGTAGGATATAACCCCCTGTGTCACTTTCGATGAGCTTCGACAGCCTCTACGTCGTGTGGCTAAAGGCACCTACGCGATAGGTTTGTAGCGTCGCGCCCTTATGTTGATAGCTACAGGCGTCGTCACGGTAAGAGCACTAGGTTTGTAGACTTGTATTTGATAGCTACCAGCGCGTAGATAAGAGCATACGTTGCTAGGGATTGCTATTTGAATAGCTACAGGGGTAGGAACGAGCATAGAGTTCTGTAGGATGTATTTGCGTAGCTACAGGGTTAGGCTAAGAGATAGCGTTGTGAGGCACTTAGTATTTGCATAGCCTTACAGGCCGTAGATAAGAGATAGGTTGTTAGCATTGCTTTGATGAGCCTACAGGGTTAGACTAACGAGATAGGTTGTAGGCGCATTGTATTTGATAGCTACAAGCGGGTAGCGTAAGAGATATGTTAGCTAGGATTGTCATTTCGGTAGGCTACCAGGAAAGATAAGAGATAGGTACGTAGGATTGTATTCTGCTAGCCCTAACCAGCGGGCGGGGTAGATAAGAGTCCATAGGTATGTAGGCTTTGATATTTCGCAAAATAGCTACCAGCCATAGATAAGCAGATATGCTAGCTAGGATTGTATTTTGATAGCTACAGGGTAGAGTAAGAGATATGGTAGTTGCAGGGATCTGCTATTTGATAGCTACCAGCCGGGCTAGAGTTAAGACGTATAGCTAGCTTAGGATTGTATTTGATAATGCGCTAGCAGCGTATACGGCGTAAAGAGATAGCTGTTGTAGCGGTCTGTATTTGATAGCTACAGGGTATAAGAGATAGGTTGTAGCATTGTATTTTGCATTAGCTCACAGCGATTAGCGTAAAGATAGCCGTTGTCCAGGCATTGTATTTGCATAGCACCAGGGCGTAGATAAGAGAATAGGTTGTCAGGCCGTTCGGCTTATTGAGTTAGCCTGACAAGCATAGATAA